CTTGGGGTAAACCCCGAGAACTCCATACAAAATAACAGTTGAAGTCACAAGGTCTCCAAGATAGGTTAAGGCCCCTAATCCTAAGTCGAAGAAGTCCATGTCTCCAAAATGCAAAGTATAGTAACCAAGTAGTTTAAGTACCATTAATGTTTTTTATGGTTCAAGTTGATTATTAAGTATCTTCAAAAAATAAATAAATGAAAAGCTCAAATGAGCAAAATAAAAATGACATAAAAGTAAATGCTAAAGTGAGCAAAGATGAAAATAGCATGAAATGTAAATGCTAAAATAAATGGGCTTAAAGTAAAGGCATAAAGTAAAAGCATAAAATAAAGTCAATTGTTAGGAATTATTGGTTAGTTGAATGACCATCTTGAAACTTTTATTTGGAACTCATTAGAGGACTGGTAGAACCAAAGCCTCTCAATAACAAGTTTCATTTACTTTTTGTCAAGTATATCATCAATTTAAGAATTATTAAGGTAACATTTAATGATCAATGATGTTTAAGTGATCCACTTTGACCAAAATTGATGAAGATTCATTATAGGATTGGTAGAACAAAAGCCTCCTAACAATGAATCTCAAGGCTATTGGATCAAAGGGTTCAAATAAACATACTTAATAATCAACTTGAACCATAAAAAAACTTTAATCTTACTTGGACTACTTGTTTACTATCCTTTGTATTTTGGAGACATGGACTTCTTGGACTTAGGATTAGGGGCCTTAACCTATCTAGGAGACCTTGTGAACTCAACTGTTATTTTTTCTGGAGTTCTTGGGGTTTACCCCAAGATATTGGGTTGTTTATTTGTTTTGTGTGCAGGTTATTATGATTATATGCTTTGTCTCTGATCTGGAATTCATCTGTATACAACCGTTACTCAGCCTAATTTTTATGATGAATTAATATAAGTGGAGTTTGGTTTTGTTAAGAGGTATTTTTTGTAATTGTTTGTTTGGTTTAAAATCCAAAGGATGGGAATTCTACATTGACTCATTTTGTCAAGTGGTGACTTCTTGTTGGTTAGACGGTTCTTTTCCATAGCTTTTACCTTATGCTTTAGGGTAGTCCTGTCATCTCCTCCCATCTTCTTTAATTTCAAAATCTTCTCCCTCCTTTTGAAAATTCTTCTTGTTTTAAAACTTGAACCACTTACATAATAAACTTGGACTTAGGTCCATGCATTTTCAAAATTATTTTCTTAATCAAACTTTAATCAATTTAATAATACTTGGACATTGAAACTACCGGCTGAAAATCATCAAACAATGAAGTCGACATCGAACGTCTTTTATCCCACAGGAAGGGAAAGGTAAACATCGAGTAAACCTGAGAAGGGTGAAATCGAGGTCGAACGACCAAGAGATAAGGGTAAGGGAGTCTGTTACGCGAGGGGAAGGTATTAGCACCCCACACGCCCGTAGTACTCTACGGTATCCACTCTTGTTATCTATCTTATGGGTGTGTTCAATCTATGCTTACTGTTTATTACTACTAAAGGGAGAATGCATGCAAAAGAAAGGGGAAAAGAATGTAGGGAAAAGAAAAGTTGTGCTCGTTCGGGCCCTACCCCGATGCCTACGTATCCCTTTTAAGGAATCAGAGCAGCCGTAGTTCGGCTTATGTTTTTGTTTGTTTGTGTTTTTATTTTTTTACTGAACAATATTAATTTCGCCTTCTGCCGCAACTCGACCTTCGGAGACTTACGCGTCAGCACAGAAGTGAATTAACATGCTCTTTTGAAAAGGTTTGAAATAAAATGTGCTTGGGCGCATAAAAAGGTTTGAGTTTGTTTGTGTTTTAAATGAACGATATTAATTTCGCCTTCTGCCGCAACTCGACCTTTGGAGACTTACGCGTCAGCACAGAAGTGAATTAATATGCTCTTTTTGAAAATAATTTTGCAAGGAAGGCCCGAAGGCAAAAAGAGTTTATATTGGTTGGTATTTTTGCTTGTAGATAGCAGCTAGTTGACCTCAAGAGAGAGATTTTAGCCATTTCTCTACTTATTCATGAAATAAGTCTTTGAGACTTGAACCATGCCAAGGCTTAGAATGGAAAAATTGTAAGATCGAGAAGAGACCCGCTTATCATCTCCCACGTTCAATAAATGCACGATTCTCGTCAGCAATTTTTAAGTATTTTGGAGTTGGCGAGAAAAAGAAGTTTTTTTTTTATTTTTAAATGCATATGCGAAAGGAGAAAGAAAAGGCATAGGGAGACTAACCTATTTCTAAACCTAAAGTCATCATACTTAATATGATCTCTCGAAAGCGATAAATGTGGAGATGAGGAATAAAACGAGGTTGTGATAATACCGAACGAAGAATGTCTGTTACCTCTTTGAAACCACGCAAGCGATTGAGAAAGCTCTACAGAAGTTGCTCCGCACGAGTTGATCAAATGAATTAATTTCCCAGCATTCCACATTACAAAAATTACATCGTTACTATCACGAAATCTTGATTAAAACGATAATGGAAATGATTTTTAAACGTGAAATAATAGAAAGTTCTAATAAAATTCTAAAGGAAAGCCCTAAGAAATTCTAAGAAATATGCTATTATTTTGTATCATTTTATCATGTGGAAAATTAATCAAAATCATGAATAAATCACACAAAAAATTACTAAAACAAAAATTGAAATAAATGAATTAACAAGAAGATAGAACATGAATGCAACAGGAGGTGCAATGCCTGAATTAGGATGCATGCTGCAAGCAACTGAAATAGACCTTAAGCCCAAACTAAATTCAGTCCAATGAGTTTTTTGTCCATGAACTTCAGCCTTCCAAAAAAATGATGTAATGGGCTTAGGAAATATTATACGGCCCAATGTCCATAATCAATAATCTCTTGTTTTTTTTATTCAGCTTATTATTATTTTTTTATTTTTTATCATCTTTCTAGAAAAAAAATATAACAAAAGAAGAAGGAAATTGAAAAAAGAGAATCGTGATTAGGGTTACAGTATTTCTTCTCCTTGCTTCGACGGCGTCGTTCTTTGACGAACTCAGATCTCTTCCTCTTCTATCGGCGGCACACACCACCGTCTCATTCTCACGGCTTCTCACTCATCAAGATTAGCGATGCTCAAATTTCATCGTCGTCCCAAAATCCCGTCGTTCCAATTCATCATCTCTGACGAGATCCTCAAGGCACCGTCGTTCTCCTCTCTTCTTCTTCTTTATGCTACGGCCAGCAAGTTCTTTGTCACTTGGCAGTTCACGGCATCATGATCGGTCATCACCGTCAATCTTCCCACCTGCTTCGGTACGATTCAGTTCTTAGATTCGCTCGATCTTTCAATCTTCTTCAACTCGGATTTCATCTTCGCGTTTCAGATTCACGCCTCTCAGCTTCTCTTCCAATGCATCTCAACTTTTGGATTTTGAAGCTGCGAATCAATCCTTCTCCACTGATTTTTTACCGTGCGTACACTTCAACTTCATCTTTTGGACTTCAAAGGTATCTTTCACCTTTCGCCTTTTCCATTTCTGAAAACCACTTCTTCTTCGATTTCTTTGGTAGCGTATTCTTCTTCAAATTCGTTGTTGTGACGTGTGATTTATTGTTGGTGTCAGATTAGAGGTGCGTTGATGAGGAATTGTGATAGTGAGGACTATTGAGAAGTTTGGGAAATGACGTTGTTTCGGTTGCATTTCATAGAAGAATGAAGAATGAAGATGATGATCCATAAAATTGCAGAAGAAGATAGTGATGAAGGTTGAAGATAGATTGATGATGGAGTAAGCAGAGGTTGAAGACATAGAGGACTCAGATTTTTGTATGGTGAGTTTGTTACTTGTATCGTATCTTGTGAATGAGTTATTTTCCTCTGAGTTTTTTTTTTGTATGACTTATGTAGAATTGTAACTGAACCATGTGTGAATTATTGATTATTGATGAAGGAAGTAGAACATAGGTTGAGATATGGAAGATGGGGATGCAGGGAAGTTGACGAAAATGAATGCAGATGGATGAAATTCAAGATGCAAAGATAAAGGTTGTTGAAGTTATCGGAGAGAAACTCAAGAGAGTCTTGAGAGAATTTTGAGATGAGGTTTTTTCTCTGGTTTCTGCATAATGAATCCTGATTGTAAATCTGAAAACTGGATCTTCCTCCTGCATTCTGTTAATTCTGTTATATAGAGGAAATTGTGAATGAAAAAACCGTTCCTTGGTTACAGCTTCAGCCCCTTTTATTGGATTGAGGGAGTTAGTTATAGAATTGGTTAGGAGTTAGAAACTGTTAGAGTTAGTTAGAAAATTCTATTATGGGTGAGAAAGTTAGTTGGCTGTTATCACAGTTTGGAAATTTGTTCAGATTCTGTTAGAAATTAGTTAGGAGTTAGTTTTGGTTCCTGATTCTGCAACTGTTCTTTATTCTGATTATCCTCCAAAGAGGTTGACCTGCTAAGAGATTCCTTGTTTCTGCTCTGATTTATGAACTGATAAACCTTCTTCTGAATTTTATTGTGTGAACATATGTTGAACGGTCTCAACACAGAGCTGAACGAATGCAATTCCTTTATTTAGTTCTTTTGATTTTATTTTTCATTGATACTAAACTGGTCTTTTTTTTTTGGATGCATATTTGGGAATCCAAATTTAATGAACAAATTTGATGTTTACAGGTATGCAAATCAGCCTAGTTTAAGTATAAGTAGCTTATCGCATTCGTTTGCGTCAACTGATATGTGCAGGGAATTTTTGGATGAACCTGTTGGATTGGTATACTGAATAACACTCTTTATGAACACAACTGCCATATGTTAGGAACTGAATTTGTCTTGAAAAATATGCACTTATTATGAAATTTTTTCAACTTTTGAAGACCTATTGATTTGTATATGTACATATCTGTTATGCAGATTTCCTGTAGTCTTTCGGGTTGAAATCATAGTGCACAATGCAAGATCTTGATGGACGTATCCTACAGTAGCTTGTATACCGCAGATGCCAATGAGCTGGACGTATTGGTTTGATGGCTCAACATAGAAGCAACAAGTTTATAGCCTTATACATGACGTGCTCGAATCCTTTTTCTAGAATTTGGAGTTTCGCATGAAGTAACTTATGAATGAAAATGTTCTGTTGTAATTTCTTGTAATGATGCAATTGTACTTTGTATGCCATCCTTATGAACTTTAAATGTGAACTTTGAAGCTTGAATGGATATTTGGACATAACTTGTAATGGCCATTGGAATCTTTGTAATGGTTTTTGAATAGTCAAAACTCGAACCTTTAACAAAGATAAACATAATGCTATGTAGACTTGACTCAATCACCAAATACAAACTTTGTGCAATATGGCCATATCAATGCACCCAAAACTTTCTTAGCCTTTTATTTCAAAATTCCTTGGTTTACCTCGAATGAATCTTGAATGAGATTTTGCATTATGGATGAATCTTGCAACCTTAAAATATTGATCCACTTGAATGTCTTGCTAGTAGAACATATCCATATAAATGGGCTTTCTAATATACATGCTTGAATTGGCCATAAGGGATTCAGAAACCGATACTTTGAATTATGCTTCTTGATTATTTGCCAATGGAATTCATAACACATATGAGCCCTTGAGCCAGTCAATGCTCGGTAATAAAATGAAATCAATATACTTCCATGGCATGTTTAATCAATGAACCTTAATCTCAATTGAATCCATAAATTCTAGTCATCTTGAATTTGAAACAACCACCTTTCATTTGATAAAATGAGCTAAATGAGCTCCTGACCCATAGCTTAACTAACAAGACATATCTGGACTTGATAAAACCCAAAGCAATCCTTAATCGCTCGTCAAAGGAGAAAACTTTGATTCAATCCCTTAGGCATCTTGGAAAAAAGTCGACTTATAAAGCAAGTAGTCCTTAGATGATGACGAACATCCAATAAGGGAAGGGTAGTGCTCCATGTAACCTTGAAGTGAGACTTTAGTCCGATAAACCTCCATTGAAGAACCACTACCAAGCTTGAACAAAATAAAGAGAAACCTCGATTCTCTTGACCTGGTATGAGGAAGTAAATCCTAGTCTCCGACATTGATAAAATTGAAGGGATAATAGCCCTTGAAGTTTAATGAAGAAAGAAATTCTCATGACCATGACTCACAATCCTAATTCCACTGCTCACTGCCTGAATAAGAAATCATCCTTTATTGGATATGAACACCTTAATCATTGCGAAACCCTAATATCGCACAGCCACTAAACTTTGAACCTCAAGCGCTTTACTGAATGCAGATGTATGTTAATAACCTAATGGAATATATACAAATGAACGTGATAGTCTAAGCCAAAATAGAAGAAATTAGGAGGGCAAATTTTGGGGTGCAACAGCTACCCCTATTTAATCGCCTTCAACCTGAAGGTGAGATTGGCGCCAGCCTTTCGAACTTTCAAGGTGGAAGAAGATTAAATACTTAAAAGAACCCGAAAATTTGCGCTCCGGAGCCAGTCAAGTATTATTTTTTTTGGTTTTCTGTATTTTCTATTTTTTTTTCTTTTTATATTTTTTTTGATAGGTAAAAGAGGTTATCAGTGTTAGATGTATGTTTAATCAGAGTTTGACACACAGAAGAATAACTTGGTTATCGAGGAACTCTGTTGGGATTTAGTAACAAACACCTGTAAGAAAGATATCAAAAGATATATGCCTGAAGTCTGTAGCAGACATATGAAAAAGGTATCAAAGATACATATCCGGGGTCAGTAGCGGATACGTACACAAGAGATATCAAAGATACATATCCGGGGTTGGTAGCGGATACACAAGAAAAACACATCAAAAATACATATTTGTGGTCGGTATCGGATACGCGCAAAAGAGATAGAAAAGATACATATTCGTGGTCGGTATCAGATATGCACGAAAGAGATAGAAAAGATACATATCCGTGGTCGGTATCAGATACGCACAAAAGAGATAGAAAAGATACATATTTGTGGTCGGTATCTGATATGCACGAAAGAGATAGAAAAGATACATATTCGTGGTCGGTATCGGATACGTACGAGAGAGATATCAAAGATACATATACGTAGTCGGTATCGGATACGTACGAAAGAGATATCAAAGATACATATCTGTGGTCGGTATCAGATACGTACAAGAGAGATATAAAAGATACATATTCGTGGTCGGTATCAGATATGCACGAAAGAGATATAAAAGATACATATCTGTGGTTGGTATCGGATACACACAAAAGAGATAGAAAAGATACATATTCGTGGTTGGTATCGGATATGCACGAAAGAGATAGAAAAGATACATATCCGTGGTCGGTATCGGATACGTACGAGAGAGATATCAAAGATACATATCCGTGGTCAGTATCGGATACGTACGAAAGAGATATCAAAGATACATATCCATGGTCGGTATCGGATACGTACGAGAGAGATATCAAAGATACATATCCGTGGTCGGTATCGGATACGTACGAAAGAGACATCAAAGATACAAGAACATATGTTTGGGGTTGGTAGAAGACATATAAAACAGGTATCAAAAATACATATCCGTGGTCGGTATCAGATACGTAAGAAAGAGACAGACCGAAGAAAGCTCTTACAAAGATATCAAGAACACATGTCTGGGATTGGTAGCAGACATATGAAACAGGTATCGAAAATACATATCAGTGGTCGGTATCGGATATGTAAGAAAGAGACAGACCGGAGAAAGCTCTTACGAAGGAACACCAATCGAAGGCGTACTTACCGCGGGAAGAGACCAAACGAATGGGACTCCTGACAAATGATACCAGTCGAAGGTAGATTTAAAAGAGATGACACCAGCCAAAGCGGGATTTTAACAAAGGATACCAGCCAAAGCGGGGTTTTAACAAAGGATAACAGTCGAAGCGGGATTTTAACAAAAGATACCAGCCGAAGCGGGATTTTAACAAAAGATACCAGCCGAAGCGAGGTTTTGAAGGATACCAGCCGAAGCGGGGTTTTAACAAAAGGTACCAGCCGAAGCGGGGTTTTGATAAAGGGTACCAGTCGAAGCGGGGTTTTGACAAAGGGTACCAGCCGAAGCAGGGTTTTGAAAGATACCAGCCAAAGCGGGATTTTAATAAATGATAAAGATATGTATGCCTGGTCAGAGTTAGACACACAAGAGTGAAATTGAGCATCAAGAAACAAATGATAGCAAACACATGCACGAGACTAACCGAAGAAAGCCCTAACAAAAAGGAAGCATTCGCCTAAATAAGGACGCCAGACAACTGGACTTTGAAGAGACGCTGAAGGACTCTTAACATAAAAGGTTTTCTAAGCTAACGAAAGGAGGACCCGACAAACGCGGATAAACCAAAACAGGGAACCGACTAAGCAGGACCTTTAAAGAGCATCGATCGAAGGTGAACTCTACAAGAGAAAGAGACTGGTCAAAGAAGACTCTAACAAAATTGCCAATATATGTTGGTCTTTCGATAGGTTGCAAATACGCAAGAACTAAAAATCCCTCAGGCCAGAGGCGGGGTGTAATTCTTCAAGAGTGGCAATTGTCTGAATTACCACACACCAAGTATGAATACTCAAAAACTTGAGAAGCAAGAAAGGTTATACACCAACTTTTACTCACACTCTAATGGCAAAGCAACACACGGGTAAAATAACCAAAGGCTTGCAAAGGCAAGCGAAAACCACAAACTTACTGGGGAAATGGAGAAATACCAAAGACTCGACTGGTGGTGAATCAAAATAAACTCTGCTGGGGAAACATAATGGAATTACCCTAGGCTCGTTGTAGAAATAAATCAAATCTGAGCGTATGACAATCTGGTTACTACAAGTGGACACAATTGGCTTATACTCATGCATGTTTGTATTTTTATAGCGTAATGCTCCATACAATGGAAATGCTACGCGTTTTAGTAGATGCAATGTAATGATGCAATGTAATAACGCATGTTTAGTAATGCACTGGGGAAATCACATCAATAATCAGATGCTGAGAAGACAATGAACTTTTGAATGATTATTTTGGCACATCTGATCTTCTGTAGGGAAAAATCAATTTGTACTTCCATGGGGAACCGAGATTTGGAACCACCAACCTCTAAAGATTAATATCATTGGGGAAGTAACTTCCTGGGAAGAATACTGCAAACATAAATTGCAGTTCAGAGAAAATCTTGAATTCTGATCAAACTCCCCACTTCACGGGGAATAAATTCCTTATCCTTTGTTGGAAAGAGGAAGGCTTTGCTGGGAGTGGAATCTTCTGGCATAGAAGTTCTTGACAAAGATAACTTCTGTTGGGGAGTATAGAAATTCTTAAATAAAAATAATTCTACTCAGACCATACTGGGGATAAAATCGTTGGGAGGTAAAAGATCCTCACTTGGGGAAGAAACGAACATCCGGGATAGAAACTCCACTGGGGATATCTCAACAAAATCTTCTACCACTGGTAATGAAAGAGTTATGACTGGAATTCTCCTGCGCATCTCACCTGAGGGATAAGACACTTGCTCCATTTAGGGAAAGAAGAATAGTTCCACTGGGGAAATTGGATCTCGTTATACGAAAATCTTCATGTTAGTCACATACAAACCCTTCTTGATTTATTTGTTGGTATGCTTCTTGTCATGAAAGACCAACAGTACTTGTGAAAATAGAAGTTGGGGCGACTTGCCCCTGTTTGGAATGGAAAACCTTACTGAAGAACAGATAACTTGAACTACCAATCATCGGGTAAAAATCGTGATGCAAGATTGCAACTCAAACATATTGACTCCGAGGAGAAATGCCACTAAAAAGTGGACTTTAGAGAAGATGCTGCAAAAATAAATTGCAGTCCAAAGAAAAAGGAATCAATCTAGACTTTAGATAGCTTCTACATTTCCAGGGAGAAAGAACATTCTTCTTCTGCAGAAAAATGAGGATGCTTCACTGGGGAGAAAATGCCTTAGGAGAGAAACCCCTTGGTAGACAGATCTTTTATTGGGAGTAGACGTCCTCCTAGGAAGTAATATTTCCAGCATGTCTTGTACGAGTAAACAAACCCAAATGATCTTTGCGTTACTACTCATATCTTACTGAGGATAACAATCCAAACTTCAACTGGGGATAATAACCTTGACTTAGTACAAAGGATATCAGTAAGTGGACTTGAGTCTCTGATAAGTCGAAGATAACAATCTTGACTTCTCAGCATGATTTTCAAACTCATAGGTCATTTAGCCTGTGTATGGACTTGGTCTGATCAACCAGTGAAGAAGAGAGAAAGCCCTTACATAAATTCTTGCCCGAGTCTGCAAGGCTTTTGCATAAAAATTCCTTGAGAGGACATTTTGAGATATGTACTATTAAAGACAATCTTCCCCAGTGTTATGGACTTCGAACATGCTGTTTTAGGTAACCAAAATTGGAGATGACTCCAACTATACTTGAGTGAATGCCCATACATCTTCAAAGTCTGGAAGATTCTCCTCTAATCAACGCATTCTTAGAGATATTTTTCAAATATCAGTATAACTGCCCCAGTTTGACTGCATTTTGAGGGATGAAATCTCGACTTGAATGCCTCAGATTGGATGAATACCTACTCGACGGAGTATTCGACACGCTCGCACCTGCTCAATAGATTCTCGATAAATCTTTTCTTTATCTTATTCTCATGGAGAGATGAAAGCTTGAGGCTTTTCGAAGACAACATAACCTTAGATTGGTTGGTTTATGTCTTGAAAGCAGGTTACTTCACAACCATACTGCTCAACTTGAACTGCTTTAATCTCGAGAAAATACTTGAAGCGATACATCCCTTGGGACCAACTGAAAGTAATGCACCACTACTTGACAGAGACTCTGGGAAACCACCTTTTGCAATGTACTTCAGATTATTTCTCAAACGGTTATTCCCTTACTCAACAGAGTCAACAAAAGATTTTCCCCAGGTTAAGACCATTCTCACAAATGATTCACCTGTAAACGGTATCCTGAAGCAATCTGTCCCTTGAGATAATCAAATTTTCAACTAATTCTCATTATGCAAGCTTACTTGATGTTTGAGCACTTGTTCATATG